CATTTATTTTGCCAATTTTTTCACCATTACAATAATTAAATAGTAAAAATTTGCTTTTTACTATTTTGTGTTGCTTTTCAGAGAAATAAATCAAATAACAAAAATACAATTTCAAAATATTTAACACTGAACATTTTTTTTTACATTCCAGCAGATATTATACAAACAAAGCACAATATAACTTAAAATAAATAAATTAGTAAAATAAAAAAATATCTTTCTCGTACTCTGCATGATGTTCGGGGTGTCTTGATTTTAAGTGATAAATTAAACTTGAAGTGCTGTACGTTTTTGCAGATGCACCCCCTCTGGACAATTCAGCAGAACAGTGTCTGCAAACGGCCGTTTTTGCCTCTTTCTCTGACACTTTAAAGTGCTTCCACACTGCTGACATGTTTGCTGCATAAAGCGCGCGCCTCTCACTCTACGCGGGTTACTATTTGATCGCGTCATTAAAAACGTCATTGTTCGGCAAAATTTATTCTGCCTTTTTACTTATTCGGTAATTTCGGTTGCCGAACATTCGGTGCATCCCTACTTTAAGGTGAAGTCTTTTGGCTTTAGTGCTGATACTCAGAATATGAAAGTGTTTGGTGAATTAATTGTAACGTTTGACTGATGGATTATAGAGGGCTGTGCTTTCAGTGCTGCTTGAAATGTTTAATTGCTTCGTAAGGTCAATCACGTGCATGATCACGTTTCAGTCTTTCTCAGTAACTACTTAATGACTGATTATACGACATGAAAAGCGCTTTAAATAATGCATATGCTTTGTGTCCATCTATTTTTAAAAACTGCTCATCCAATTTAGGTCAGGCTTCTGCCCTAAAGCCCACGATATATGAGAGTGCATGCCCAATGCATGACGCTAGTCTGTCACAGAGATGTCCGTGTTTTGTCCCTGATAGATCAGCTTACTCTGTCCTTACGGACAGTCAGCATACGCCAGAGGGACTGGTTCTGACATGCAGAGATGGGGCCCTGACCTGATTGGAACCCTACAGGCGTGTTCCGCTTCCAAAGACATATGTGTATGTTTGTAATGTGCTTGGGGGCTCTGTGTGGCTAAGCGGGATACGATGCTGTACCTGATACTGGAAGGTCGCCAGTTCAAATCCCAGGGTCGGCAGAGTGATGTCATCGTTGGCCCTTAACACCCAGTTGCTCCAGGGACTGTCCCTCCTTCCTAAAAAAGATTGCTTCACATTAAAGGGTTTTCTAAATAAATAAAATGTAGATATAAACTGTAATGTACTATCTGCCTTGCTTGTACCTCACCTTGGACAAAAGTGTCTGCTGAATAAATGATGGTAAATAAAGGCCAGTATGCACAGGCCCACACTCACAATCTGCAGGACAGTCATTGTGAAGTGCCCCTGTAGCATAACTAATGCAGATCTCATCTCCAGACAGGTGTAAAAAGCATTTCTGGAAGAATTTAGGCATTTGATAGGGACTGCAGCCAATCCCCCTGAGACAGGTGCTGGTATTTTCATTTCTACTTTCTTACTCATTTTCAGCCTGCTTTTATACTTTTAGGTTTGCTAGTGTCGGAATAATGACTGTACTTTTTCAACATAGTTTATTTCCCACAACAGTGATGTTAAATTCCATCTCAAATCTCTGTGGCGTGGCCAAGTGTAATTTGACCCTGGGTTTGAAGTGGCTCTCCACACCACAGCACCTCCCCCACACCCCATTAGAGCATGACAAGTCCCCCCAGCTCTTACAGTCTACCTGAGGACAGCACACATCTCTGGCACATCCTGAATGTGATACGTTACAGTAACAAGTCCCTCGACGGGATTACATCATTCTATTTGGTCATTTAATATCGTTAATAATGTCATGTTTTATGATGAAAGGTCCGTTCGGAAAGCTGAGAATTTCAAGAGATGTTGTTACCTAGTGCTTTTGAGATCTCGTTGTTAATGATCTCAGTTTCACGTTTCATACTCTTCTGTGTTATTCTCCCTGGTACATTTTCACATGGATCACAATCTGAAAGAAAAAAGCATTACAGACAGCCAGTCACCTCAGTCTAAATGCAATGCTTTGCTGAAAAAGTGCCGATTAAATCAGCTTAGATATTAGACCATATTATTATTACTACTACTATTATTATTAGTATTAGTATTATTGTTGTCTTTCATTTGCACCTTCTTTCAGACATAAGTCTGTCTCAGCTTAATAATAATTATTTTAAAATATCTTTCTACAAACTTAATATTAATTCCAATATAAAGTCAGACACATTTAGTGCAGGATAGACAATGCCAGCTTGTCTCTGAGAACCTTCAAAGCCTTCAAAGAAATGTAAGGTTCTTACACCTTTCAGAGTTCTGAGCAGAAATGCTTTCCTCACACATCCCGAGGATGTTTTTGTCTAGCACAGAGAAACCTTTTATTCCTTCATTCTTTGAAGATGACCAAGTAATGACATTGATGTCAAGTAATGACATTGACTAAACACACCCACCCCTGGTCCTTAGTTCTTAGCAATTTATGTTCTCACACGTTAGTGTTTCGAGATTATTTTAATTTGATTTGGTTTAAGAAAGATTGAAAATCCCTGATGTGATTCAGATACTCTTGGATTTGCAGCAAAACTGGCCATGAATTTCTTCAGCTGAATTTCTTGAATAAGTATACAGTATGCATATGTTTAAATGTGTGAAAACTGTAAGCTGCTTGGCTTTAGATAAAAGTGTCAGTTATGTGAAGTGACTAAATGTAAATCAAAACAACAACTTGTCGCCTTCAATCGAGGTCTTTATCTGTTAAGGATGCTCCTTCTCAGATTCTTTGAACATGCCAAAGCTTACAGATTTAAGCTGCCTGTTTGGCAGGACCCCTATCTAAAGCTCACTGCACCGTTTTCAGACTGATCACTTTCATCTAAGGGCCCAAACTAGCAAAGCATCTTCTCTCTTTAGGACGATGCCAGTTACGAAGATATGTTGTAAGTTGCACCCTTTTTAACGTCCAAGCGGGGAGTGGCTCATAATCTGTTGGCGATGTCCTTGATATGAAAGCGCATGACGGGTGTTCACTTCGCCAGGCCTTTCTGTTTGCCGTGGCTCAGACTTCAAAGAGGAGTCGCAGTTTTATCAGGTAAGTGCTATTAAGAGCAGCAGTTCAAAGCTTTTGAAGGGTTTTCAGTGCATTGCAAATGTGATCAACTCTGTGAGCATTTTCATGACTAATGGTAGCAATAACAGCAGTTTTTTAAAGCTAGATGTACACTAGATAGTTTAGTGCTGCGTACCTCACATTATGTTCTTTGTGTCCCGGGGGGGGGGGTGGTTCTACATTTGACAGTGTAGTATGATATAACCATCCAGTAGTAGGTGCAATTTCTTCTCTGGCCTGTTTAAAACACTTCTCTGTCCTGGTTTGTGGATGCAAGGAATTCTTTATATCATATTCATTCGCTGACAGATGCAAGCAAACACGTCCGGTATTGGGAGAGGACAAGGATTAATGTTTTCGCTACACTTAGTGATCCGAGGGCAAAGAATGTTAGCCTCAGGTAACTAATGCAATTTACACATTTTCAAAAGGATACTTGCAGCAATTTGCTTCCACGGAATGCACTGGAATGCTGCTGCAGTACACACTTATCTATGAATAGGAAATTGGGTCAAGTGGTTAACCGTAATGTAATGCAGCTTATCCTTCATATTGGGAAACATGCGTTCTTGGGTGAACATGTCTGTTATTTCAGGAAAAGCATTTTCGGAATGAATAAATAGTGGTACACTGTAAGGTTTAAAAAAAAAAACAAAACGAATAAAAACTTTACTCCGTATAACCGAGAGATGTGTAATTTTAGTTGATTATTTGCAGTTATTAATTAGCTTTGTGGAGGTGGTACAGACTGGTACACACTGGGGAAATACCCCCACAATGTGTGGAGAAAAATTAATCGCAATTAGTGGACTATATCTTTTGTACTAGGACCACTTAGTGTATATCCAGTGTTTCCGGGGCATAAATAATTAAAGGATGTGAAATAGTGTGAAATAGCTAATTTGCTGTGTGGTTGTACTTTACATGGACACAGAAAATGACCTTACTCAATATATAACTATGACAGTGAGTGTTCTATAATTTAAAGGTAATATGTAAATGAAGAGCCGTAATTATTATATACAGGCAGCTCTGGACTTGCGTAAAACTGGCCTATAAATCTGGATTTACGCAAAAAATGTGTCGGATGCATAGAGTTTATTGATGCAAAGACATTAGCTCTATAAGCAAATTTGAACTTTTTTTCTTGTAGTGTGTTTAGTACCTATTTTTGGCTTATAAGGTGTCCTAAATTGTATGAGAAGGAAACATTGACCCAAATAAAGATTTGTGAAACAGATTTATTACATTTGTTGAGAGCTGATGCTCAACTTATTATGTTTATTAGTGGTGTAAAAGTTCGGAAATTAAGCTTGAAACCACAATACAAACATTCTCTCTGGAAGACGGAACTGCGATATCCACCCCCATCCCCACCAATCTCAACTTACTGCCACATTATTCTGTTTAATATTTGGGCAAACTATATATAATGTACATTTTTCACGTTACACCTATTTTATTACCAAATCCATATGTCATGTGATTATTCTGGTCCAATCGTGATAGAGTGATCATGCCTGCGGTAAAAGCTACGTTACTTTCATTGGCTCAAGATGGATAACAACCCTGTGACTGCAGATCCCCCAGGCACATTCAGTCAGCGGTGTGGGAACATTTTCTTATCCAGTGGAGTGTAGTATTTCATTTTTTAATGTAATTTTATGTTAATTTCATTTAACGTGTTCTCTAGTGTTCTTCTATTTTGTGTACCAAAGTGTTGCTGGTTAATGCAGCCCTGAAATTTTCCCCCATTTTTTTTATTCACAGCCCCCCCCCAAAAAAAAATAAAGCCAAGGTCTGTACCACACTCTGGATTTGAAGAATTGTTACACCCCTAATGTGTGTATCTTTTCTTTACCCCCTAGGGTGAAAGCCAAGAAAGGGGTCAATCTCATCACTACGAGATCCCAAAGCCCCCAGTGGACGGTGAAGTGTGAGGTGCAGTCCGGGGCCAAGCACTCCACCGGAACAGTGGACGTCAGCAAGAACAAGGATGTGCAACTCGGGTAATGTGCAGCACTTTAGGGCTGTCTGCAGGAGCGGTGTTTGGCGCCCTCTTTGCTGCACATCTTCATGGAGATCACACTGAAATCACACTGATAGGATTGCACCCTCCACGAAAAAGCAGCATTTGTCATAAAACTAAAAATTAATATTTAGCCCAGGGGCGCAGATGGTGGGGGGAACAGGGGGGCACGTCCCCCCCAGTTATATAGGGACCCTAATCCACCCCTCACCACTATTGAGGGGAAAAAAATAACAAAAGTTTGATAGGTAGCATCCCTAAACAGAGTTGGATACCGTGTTGTTTGAACTCATCAAGCTGTGTCAACCATCACAAACTCCCCGCGCCTCCTCATGCATACACACATGCGTTCCCACTGTCTCCCTTTAATCTCGTTTGTAGCCAGATGTGGGCATTACTATTAACCTATACATGAAGTGAATTTTTCACTTCAACCATGACCTACCGATTTCATGATGGACTGATGTCACTTTCTACAACGTTTTATTCAAAAACATCTACTTGCCACATTGTGCATTCTGTTTGTATTCTGCTGTTGTGGGTTTGGGTCCTGAACAAGCTGAGAACTGAGCTGCCTTACATTGCGCCGGATGCAGTTTTGGTCACACAGACCAAAGCGATTTGAAACTCTCACACTCACTCTGCATATTCCATTACAAACATAAAATTAGCTACATCAAAACCGTTGGTGTTATTTACAAACTCTAGAAACTATTTACAAGTTAATAAAACTTACATACATGTAAATGTGTGTGCATGAGTGTGCAATCTTGTCTCGGATGGAAAATGTCTACACCCAGCTGACCAAAGTTGGCAACCTTACTTTGTTACTGCAACAAAGAAAACAACTTTATCCAAGTTTCACCTAATGTTAAATTATGTCTGTTAGAATAAAGCTACAAATCTATGAACATGTCATCACGTAGTATATAGCATAAAACTTTTAACAAATTGTAGAGAAATCTGTTGTTTATGCTATTGTGTAATAGGGCATTTCTGGGTGATTGGCAGTTCCCTACCAGACAATATTGTGGCTCAGTGGGCTAAGCCTGTGTGCCTGTAATCAGAAGGTTGCCAGTTTAAACCCAGCCTCGGCACGTCTGCGGGTCCTTGAGCAAGGCCCCTAACCCCCAGCTCCCTGGGCGCCGCTACAGATGGCTGTCCTTCACGGACAGCTCACTCTACAAAAGAGCAAGTTGAGGGAGGCGTAAAGACAATTTCCCCATGGGGATCAATAAAAGTATCTATTATTATAATTATTATGTCGGCCACTTTCAGTCACAATGTTTAGTATGTTAAATCACGCCGAATGCCTCATTAAATATGACTGGATAAGCTTAAGAGTTGAGACTCACTTCAAAAACCTGTCCTGTGCCCCTGATTTAGCCCCTGGTTTCTCTAGGTTGGGGAGTCCATCAGGTATTCTGCATGCTAATTAGAAGCAGAAATACAAATTTCCCACCATAACCTTTTTCCTCATCTCTCTGCAAACAGCACTGATTCGACTCGACTGTTTACCCTGATTGTGAAACCTTATATAGAAGCAGACAGTCGCATTAACTGAATAAAACATCAACAATCTTCATCTGTGGCGCCTTTGCTGAATAGTGTGTCTCTCATTTGGCATATTTACATGAATACATCCTGAATAAAATGTCATGGGACTGAAATGCTTGCAGTAAGTTAACAAGTGTTGATGACACACAGATTTTACGCAGGATGCACATGTAAACTCACTAACCATAACTCTCTTACCTCTGTTGTTCTCATTTAGCAGTTTTTTGAGGTCTCTATGTAATGTTAGTCAAGTATGTTCCTCTAAATATTAATGAGTCCACTTTTCTGCTTAGACCTGTAACAGTAAAAAGTGAGCAAAATGCCCTGAACGGGAAGTCATTTCTACTTTATTATTCAAATTGCAGTAACATTTAATGTGAATTCTTTGTAAGGGCACATTTAAAAATGATACAGCTCTCATTTTGGAAACTACCCATCTGTCATATGGCGATATAACACACATACCGGTCCAATCTAAGAAATGCACTGTGGTCAAGATGTATAATGACGGTGCAATGAAAATGTATTTATTTGATATATTATACCAATTAATTTAAAGAATACTAAAATCGTGGCAGTTTAATTTGGAGGACAGGTGAAAATGCCCGTAAAATAAAAATTAACATCCTAGTTATAATATTTACATCCAGAATAAAAGTTTGAGCTCTTTCCCGATGCAGGATATTGGTCGGCTGATTTCATTACTGTCAAGGGCACCAGACCTTCTTACATAAACTGAGCTGACACATGACTGTTTCACATGCAGTCAAGTAGGAGCAGTTACTGTTTGGGATTCTGCTGCTGTTCATTTTAATTGAGATAAATGTGTTGTTTGTATATATGTGCGTATAGTGGTGGCTGGTCAGCTTTGAATGATTTCTGTGGGATTCCATAATTATAGTGTCTTCATGCACAGAGTGTCTTTTCATAATTCACATAATGGTGGGACCATATTGCAGAGCAGCTTCAGTATCTCTGATGTGAAATGACAGCCAATCAAGTGAATGGCTCAACCTTTATAAGCGAGACAATCACTCCCCCCAGTGTTTTTTCATGTAAATAATATATATAAATAAAAGAGTTTTCCTGTATCCTGGAAAATACTTTGTTGGCTGTGGTGTACAGAGAACTGGAACACAGTCCCACATTCATTCATAAAACCCACATGAGCTATGCAGTAATGTGTATTAATGTTTACATGCATGTTAACGATGTCATTCTGCCTACGCCAAGGGTCCTTCGTCCATATGGAGGCTGGTGGTTGCAATTATTGCTTATGAAGGCTGCATCTGATGAATGTTCTAGAACTCCATATATAAATAGTTACTGAAAAACCATGAAACAGAAGTGATTTCCATATCAGTTATGACCCAATTCGATTATTTTGTTGTTTAAATAAAACTACTTTCCTGCCTTGTGCTGACAGGTTTATCCGAAATGGAAGCTTCTTTTCCCATTTGTTTTAATGAGGATCCATAATTTCCACTCTGATTTTCTTCTCGTGCTGCGTGTTTTGAATACTAATTATGAACCCTTTGGGATTTTGAGCCCTTTCTCACCTAGACTTTCCTTTGTCTGCTGTGTCGCGTTTGTTCATTACTGTCTTCCGTACAATAAACGTTCCTGCACATCGAACGGCTTTGCTTGCAAGGTCACCTCAAGGAGGAGCTGGTGGCCGCAGTTTCTCTTGATTATTGTGTGTCCAGAAGTCTATTTCAGCGTCGTCCATTTCTAGCTCACTTGCATGTACTTCTGAATCAGAAAGATCTTTTTGGGCTATGGACGGACCCGACCGACTGAACAAATGAACAAACGAACGGGGACAATGCTAGGAAGATGCTAGGATTTGCATTTTCACACTTAATCACTTGATCATAGTTTTCATATTGTGTTGACATTTATTTTGTATAAGCGAAAACCTATAAGATCTGTGTCTTATGGAAAATTGCATCGGTTCCTTAACCCCCCGCCCCCCAATATCCAACATTTTTGCCGGTATCGGCTCGATGCCGATAGTGGGTATCGGATCAGTGCTACTGTATCTCTAATGGACATAGTAATTAAAACAATCTTTAGGGTTGAATTGCTTAAGAGCTGCTATGTAACTGAATAGTGGGTATTTTCTGCATACAGAAAAAGGAAGGAGCTTTGCTTCTGGCTAATGGTTTAAAAGATTTAATGGGAAACAGGTCATAAAACCACATTCTCTTAGGCTCAGATTTCATAGAGATGTTTAAGACTCTTTACTCACACTGGGTGCGGATTTAAATGATATGAAAATACTTAAAACTAGTAATAACTTTCCTCCCTCTCCAGCGATGCCACCTCTGCTATTGAGATCATGCAGCTGGACTTCGAGATGGAAAACTTCACCAGCCAGTCGGTGACCCGTCGAATTAACTGGAACATTGACTACCGTGGTCAGAACCCACCTCCAGACTCAGACAAGGTGGTGACGGAGCTGACTGTGGTCCAGAAGGACATTCAGGCCATTGTCCCCCTCTCTATGGTAGGTGCTTAAAGGTTCTTCAGTGTTCTATTTGTTGTTATGCTCTATCCTAGCATTAGGAGAGCCTGCCTCCTCAATTCGTGGTGCATGTGTGTAATAACCATAAAACTGACTTGGCCAAATGCATGAAAAGTCTAAAAAGGTACTAGGAGCAACGCTACCTATATTAGCCGGGAACGCTTCTGTACCTTATATAATATCAAGGTGCACCATTTATTATAAGTAGTTGGTTTGTGTTCTTTCTGTGTGGGCTGACTGACTGACTGATAGTCTTGCAGACATTTTTAGATCTGCCTCCATTTCAAGGTTCCTCATTTTGTTTTTATTACTCTACTTTGGCTCTTCAGCAAAAGTATTTAAAACACACGTTAATCGGCTGCATAAATCAGACCTTTTTTTAAATGCCCAAATTTCAGGTGATCAGTGGTCTCTCCTTAATTCACCTGCACCTATGTAGCACGATAGGATTTTTTTTCTAAAAAAAAAAAAAAAAAGCATCTATCAGAAATACAGAGAACAGGATTTCAGAACAGGGTCTTTAACATTCAAGCGGCCTTATGGAAGTTACACCAGTGCCCAGCTGTGTGTGCAAATGAGGCCCTTCCAGTAGAAAATGGCACGGTTCAGTACGCAGCCATCCAGGTAAGGCACTCTATTAAGGGCAGGGAGGCCCCAGGAACTTGGTATTCATGACATTTAGTGGTACATTTCAAGGCCGTGTGGGAAGAAGCCAGGCTGACTGAGGGTAAACTTGCAAGAACAGACACCAAACGTGCTTTTCAGGAAGCACAATGAATCTTTGAGCTCCATGTTGAAGGCAATACAGGAGCTTTCCCCAGAGAAGCCACAGAACTTCCCACAAAACATAAGTACTGCGGGAAAGAGAAGATATTTACCCAGAGCTCTTGTGACATATTGGAAATTTAATAAAGCGATTGCAGTAATAGCAAACCAAACATGAAACACATCCCTTGTGATCGTAGTTAATTTACATGAGCACCTCGTTAGAATTTCATAGGCTCAAAATGTCATGAAATGTGAGCAAAGAGCACAGAATGCTATGCATTTGAAGAAGAACAAAGGCAACCTTAAACGCCATGCATTGTGTGTGGGCGACGGCGCAGTAGGAATCCCCGAGTCTGAAACCCACCGGTAAGCAGGTCCGACACGGCCGTGACCGGACTGCTGCGTCTTATTGGAGGTTTTGCAGTGCGGAGCCGCTTGTGTGGCGGGGGGAGGGGAGTGGGCACGGCTGAATCAGTCCACGCCATCGCTCGTGTCTGTCAGGCCTGGCCAGGTCCCCTGGCAGCCACCGTCAGGGCACAATTAGCACCTCGGACCAGTAGTCTTCTCCAAGACAGCTTATTAATGAGCAGCCCCCTCGGGAGGATGCTGGCGCTGCTGCTCCCTCAAGCGCTAACAGTTAATAAATAAAACATTACACCCGTGCTAAAGTTTCATAGTGTGGAGCATCCCACGCCTGACAGGACAGCGTCCCCGATAATGTCATTTACGAGGGGGCCCCTGGCCCGTCAGGGCGCTGCTGTCTGGCGGGGGGAGATAGCTGCTATCATTATGATGCGGTTACTTATTCAGTCTGATCTTAGGCTTGGGGGCGCAGGGGCTTGTGAGATTTTGCTTTTGCTGTTTGTCTGTTCCTCCATATTATAAACCAACAAACCAACAAGTCAGATTTCATGCAAGTCAGATTTGCCTTACCATGCCACTCAAGACACCTTATAGCAAAAACACATGAACCAAAAATACATATTAAAGAATACATATTAAATACATAAAGGGATAAAGTGTACATGTGCTTACAGGCATATGTCACCTTTTTTGCGATTCTGTGTGTCTCAGGTATTTCTCTTTTAGTCCAGATGAACTTCAGTTAGCTTTACATTAGTCAAGAGCTGCCTGTGCTAATGTTGTACATATGTCAAATAATAAAATATAACAGCCATGAGAATTATGTTCAGCCTTCAGTCTGCTAAGGCTAATATTAGTAAGTTTAACTTGTCCGATATATTGACCATACCAGTAAAAATGCTCAGTGACTCTTCATCTGGGTCACTGGGCATGACTTTGCTTTGATACGTGTTATCTAGGCAGCTAAATGACAAAACGATCGGCCCTTCACTGTAGGAATAGATTGGTTGTGGAATGCAGTCAAAGCTCGTTTCCTCTCATGTGTAGTGGCAGCAACTCCAAAAGTCAAGTATACTAATCAAATTACAGTATTTGGAGATTGAAATTGATTGGGGGAGATGCTTAGAACTAAAACAATGCTGCAGATCTCATTCAGAGGGCACTAAAACTCTTTTTCCATGGTTGTTTGAAGTTTGTACAATCCATGTTTGAATTTGTAAGTCTGTTTTGCTCACAATAGTTCTGTAATTATTTTGTCGTGATCATTTATGAAGCGTCCGAATGTTGCTCATCAGTTTTCAACAATCGGAAAGGGGATTCATCAGTGGTTTAAAGTAGAGATGTCCCCGATGTCCCAGAAATGAAAGAAAGGAACATTTACAGGAAAATGCAGGACAGAAGTCTCGGAAACTCAGGCAATGGATTCTTCCAGTTGACTGACAGAAGAAAGCATCAAAGCCATATTTTGACAAACCCTTTGCGTTGTACTTTGATATATTTCATGCAACATGACACCAAAAATAAATGAGGTTCCTTCTGTATTCCAGGAGGTTATGAAAAGTGGGGAATGTTTTAAATGTTCACAAATGCCCATCTTCAGACTAATAACTTTAGCTGCAGTGTTTGCAAAGACCTGTCTGTCAAGTGTCAGCAAGTCACTGTAAATGTACAGTACAGGTTTTTTTCCCCACAATAATATATAGAAATCTCTGAATAGAAACAAAAACAAGTTCATATTTAAATAAATGTGATTTGTTTGGGTGGGCAATGGGCATAACTTCTCTCATATCTGAATGGAGTTATTTGAACCACTGAAAATAACTCGATTAGATGAAAATTATTGGTTTATGCTGTGCTAAATAAATTATTGCATGTAAATATTGTCTTGTGGTAACTGATTAATGATTGACTTCTGTTGACCATGTGAAATGTTTTATTGTGAGTCTTGGTAAGCACAGTGTATATTTTCTTGGAGTGGAAAGCCTGATTTTTCAATGTCATAGTCAGTAATCAAAGCAGCTGTTTGGAAGCCAAAAGGGCAGCTAGGAAATGTAGTCTTCCTTGCTCCCCTCAGCGATTCTCATTTTGGTTCTCCTATGTTTAAATATAAATAATAAAAATAAAACTCAAATCCTAGCTGGCAGCCCAGTATCCAGCATGTGGCTCTAGGTTGGTCCTATTCCCCTGTCAAATGACCCTCAAACAGGGAGACTATCCACAGCTGCAGCTAATTTGGCCGCTTTTTGGTGCGGAACGAGATCTTTTGCCTTGTGTGGTACTGAAGAACATTTTGCTCGTAGAACATTGATGGTGGGGAGGTGTGGTGTGGGGGTAGATGCCATTTCTCCTCAATGACTCACATCGGCTTGATGTATACTGAAGGTGGGGATAATGACTTTAGCATTATTGTTAATGTGATGTTAACAGCTTATGATTCCCGCTATCCATAGATGATGATAATCCCTGCTCTGTTTTGAATCTTCCAGGACACTGAGATCATCAACACTGCAGTACTGACTGGCCGGACAGTTGCCATCCCAGTGAAAGTCGTTTCCATAGAAATGAGTGGAGTCGTCACTGACATCTCACCAAATGTGGAATGCAAGTCTGCCAATGAAGATATTGTCAAGGTAACATATAGAGTCTTTTTTAGAATCACCAAAGGAAATTGAACAAGGCATCTATGTAATCCATCCTTTTGTCTTATTGGACATACATCGTGGCCAAAAGTTTTGAGAATGACACAAGTATTGGTTTTGACAAAGTTTGCTGTTTCAGTGTTTGTAGATCTTTTTGTCAGATGTGCCCTGGCATGCTATCAAGATTCAAGAACTTTATTGTCATTCCACACGTTCGCACATGCCGTGGAGCGAAATTAAGTTCTCAGGTCACGGATAAGCAACAGAGCTAGTCACACACACTTTTAAATATAAAGATGAAAATTAAATATAAAGGTATGGATTATAAATTAGCAGTATGTACAGTGTCCGATGCACAGATCATCTTCTGGGCCAAATCCGGCCTGATGGCAGCCCATTCTTGCATAAGCAATGCTTGGAGTTTGTCAGAATTTGTGGGTTTTTGTTTGTCCACCTGCCTCTTGAGGATTGACCACAAGTTCTCGATGGGATTAAGGTCTGGAGAGTTTCCTGGCCGTGGACCCAAAATGTCAATGTTTTGTTCCCTGAGCCACTTAGTTCTCACTTTTGCCTTATGGGACAGTGCTCCATCATGCTGGAAAAGGCATTGTTCATCACCAGGCTGTTGGCTGGATATAGGCAAAATTGTGAGTGAGCCCACTCCCTTGGCTAAGAAGCAACCCCACACATGAATAGTCTCAGGGTGCTTTACTGTTGGCATGACACGGGACTGAAGGTAGCGCTCACCTTTTCTTCTCCGGACAACCTTTTTTCCAGATGCCCCAAACAATCGGAAAGGGGATTCATCAGAATAAATGACTTTACCCCAGTCCTCAGCAGTTCAATCCCTGCACCTTTTGCAGAATATCAGTCTGTCCCTGATGTTTTTCTTGGAGAAGTGGCTTCTTTGCTGCCCTTCTTGACACCAGGCCATCCTCCAAAGTTCTTTCCCTCACTGTGCGTGCAGATGCACTCACACCTGCCTGCTGCCATTCCTGAGCAAGCTCTGCACTGGTAGTGCCCCGATCCCGCAGCTGAATCAACTTCAGGAGACAGTCCTGGCACTTGCTGGACTTTCTTGGGCACCCTGAAACCTTTTTCACTACAATTGAACCTTTCTCCTTGAAGTTCTTGATGATTTGATAAATCAGGGGTGGCCAATCTTATCCATAAAGAGCCAGTGTATATGCAGTTTTTTGGGATAACCTTTAGGTCAGCTGTTGAAACCCAGGCGTGAGAACTCTTCAGCCAATCAGTCCTCTAATTAGGAATCTAATTAGGGAGTTTCAGCGAAAACCCGCACACACAGCGGCCCTTTCTGGATAAGATTTCCCACCCCTGCGTTAAATGGTTGATTTAGGTGCAATTTTACTAGAAGCAATATCCTTGCCTGTGAAGCCCTTTTTGTGCAAAGCAATGATGACTGCATGCGTTTCCTTGCAGGTAACCATGGTTAACAGAGGAAAAACAATGATTTCAAGCACCACCCTCCTATTTAAACATCCAGTCTGCTATTCTAACTCAATCAGCATGACCGTATGATCTCCAGCCTTGTCCTCGTCAACAATCTCACCTGTGTTAACAAGAGAATCACTGAAATGATGTCAGCAAGTCCTTGTGTGGCAGGGCTGAAATGCAGTGGAAATTGGTTTTTTGGGATTAAGTTAATTTTCATGGCAAACAGGGACTTAATTGCAATTCATCTGATCACTCTTCATAACATTCGGTGTAGGCAAATTGTCATCATAAAAACTGAGGCAGCAGACTTTGTGAAATCCAATACTTGTTTCATTCTCAAAACTAATTTAATATACAAATAATAATAAAAAAGCTCATGCTTTGTTTGTTGAATTTTCTTGCCTGATAATGATAAAGTAGAGATTAATTATCCCTGTGAAGGCAGGCAGACACTGAGGTAGAGAGCTGTGTGTACTGTTGTGGTGAATTATGTTTTCTGTCATTGATTTTTGGAACCACTGGCAGGAAGAAATGCACTTCAAATTGCCAATGGAAATATCTATGAGATGCCTAAAAGCAGGCACTAAGATCAAGGGTTCTCTTGTTTTTAATGGATGGCATTTTACCTGCAAATCTGTGTTAAAGTATGAATTGGTCTTTATTTCGTAAATGGTGCATTTTATGATTATTGCCAGCCTCTTCACTGGGAACTGAGAATATTTTCTCTTAACTGTGTTAGCTGTTGAGCCAAGGTAGAAATTTCCAGTATAGAAAGTAAAAATCCAGACCCAGATTTTCTTTCAGCTAACCAGTTAATTACTCTCTGATTCTCTGACTGTATACTCAACTGCTTGGCTGAAACAAAATTTTGGTCTAGATCAGGGTTATTCAAATCACGGTCCTCGAGGTCTGAGCACTGCTGGTTTTCCAGCCTTCCTTTACCTGTCAGTCAGGTGTGAAGCCTCTGACCAATCAGAATCAGTAATTATTAAACTAATTACCTGGGAGAATTGAAAACAAGGCCCGGATTTGGAATCGAGGTCCAGATTTGAAGAACCCTGGTCTAGATTTTTACTTTCTGGACCTGAAATTTCAACCTCTGCTGTTGAACATCAGAATTTACTACAAGGTGATCCTTTGATGTACATAAGACTTGACAGGTCAATTAAATGCTGTCGAGGATGCTTGGGATAGTCCATCATATCCGATGATGACGTTCCTCCTTATTGATGGCTGTAGAGTCCAATCCTTAAACCGCAAACTTTATTGCATTCTGAAGAGGTAAATTTTGGATTAGTGGTGGCAGGCATCTTGTTCCTCTCTGATTCCAGCTGCTCTGTACCTGCATGACAGAGCTGCTGCCAAGTATAATGATCAACGGCAACCACTTCCAATTGAGAGCAGCCAATTTGACATTGTCTTAGTCATGTCTTTAGCCAGTTTATGTGCCGCTTTTCCTGTCCCCCTGTGGATCGTCGGCCCAGATGGAGTTGCCCATATAGGACTTGCTTTTGCAGGCACTCATCAGGCACCCTAATAACATGCCCAAGCCAGTACAGTTGGTACTCAGCGACTGTGGCCTCCATACTCTCACACTTTTTCTTAGTGAGCCCTCGAGGATGGCAGTGCGCACACATTCACACAAGGAATCTGGAGCCGCATGATGTTTTTGGCACTGGCATTTTGGTTTGCCATATATGGATGAAATTAATATTTAATAGCATCCCATGCTAGTAATAGGTTTCAGATGTCAAATATGTTGCTTAAGTTTGATATCAAACATGAAGTTCTATATTCCTACATTTTAATTTTTTTTTTTTTTTTTTTTTTTTTTTTTAAATAAAGCCAATCTTTCAGGAGGCTTACTTTAGCTAGTGACCTCATAATTACACTAACACTATAAGACAGCATTATGAAATGTTGTGGAAGTTCCAACTATCTACACATTCTTAATCTTTTTCCCATTGAATTCTTTTAATTAAGATACTACTGACCCATAAAGAAGCTCAATGTAGAAAAGTTCTTTAAAATGGGTTAATTGTAAATTGTTCTAAATCTTACACTCAAGAACAAAAGCAAGTGGTCATTTTCACTCAGTATCCGGGACCTCATGAAGTCTTTTGTTGTGGGACTCTGATTCTCGAAAGTGCTCCTGAAGTTTTCCACAAGGCTGTGTTAGTCATCCAGTGCTTCCGAGGACCATGAGCAGAGACCAGAGTACATTCAGTGCCCGTGTTCTCCTCCAGGCTTTTCATGTCATGCTTGTCCTTTGTAATGTTTCAAGGATACACACACATTCAAAACATCCAAAGCCTTAATGAAATGTACATAATGGTATGATGCCGGCTTCTGTTTGAGTGGAGAAAAAGCTTTTGTTGTGATGAAAAAGTCTCAGACAGTGCATTCTGAATGGAATACAACTGGGATTATTATGCACCCATGCTGTATATACAAACTAAAACATTATAAACTTTAAAGGTTACCTTTCAGGGTCTCAGTTTGTGGATAAATAGTACGTGTTATATCAAAATACGTGTATATTTGCTTTTTTTCCCTTCTTTTTGCTGATGTGATTATCCTCAGTCTGAGTATCTGTTAAAGAACAAGCTTATTTTTTATGTAAATGATGCCTACATATTATCATGAACATTAAGTAGAAGCTATTTATAACCTGTAAACACATTCAGGTATGAAAATGTTTTTTGTACATTTCCTTGACTTGACAAATGGTTGTAGATATTTAAAAACAAGAATCTTTACCAACTTTACAGGCATATATCACCTTTTGCCTTATCACTTCTATTCTATTTCAAATGTTTTTTGTGCAAGTTACAGATTTTCCAAAGTCAGTTTTAATCATTTTAACAAATACAATTATTGCTTTAGCTGTTTCCCAGACATCCAATGAAGGGAACAACTTAAATATACATTTTCATAATGCTTATGAAGGGTCCTATGCATCCTTTCAGTGCATACTTTTATTTTATTTAGTTTTGTTTTTTAGATTTAACCTAAAAATATCAAGAGAACAGCAGTTGCAGTCAATCAATGCCTTACGAGTATCCAAAGTGTCTGTGCGGACGGAGTATTTTGTTACGCGAATGTGATGAATAGCCAGCATGGGGAATTGCGCTTAGGCAAACCTCCATTTGCAGGAGATTAGCTTCTCTGATTACTGCGTCAGCCAGCTCAGACCTTGGGATAAATCATCAATAGTATCCCAAGCAAACTGGCCTATCTATTACCGTAAATCATTGGCCATTACGGAGCTGGCTATTTGAGGGAAATTGCCTGGTCGGTGAGGTGAAAAAAATATTTTTGTTTCTGAGCTGAATTAGGCGTTCAGATTCTGACAGCTATAGCACAACAAAACATTGCTGATTATATTATATTCATAAAAATTTTTGCTACCAGTCTCAGAATGAATTTTGGTCTAGATTGCGTTGGCTTCCAAATACTTTATTGTACAATATATGTAGATTAAGACTCAAACATCAGATGTATCACCTTGTTTATGTCTCAAACTGCCAACTAGTCTGATTTGCTGTTAAGCATGCCATATTCTCATTTTGTTCTCTGCATTGCATATTTCAATATTATTTTAGCTTATCAAAATGCAAAGCATTCACCTAGTGTTGTGTACTGTATATGTTTAGCCAGAAAGAACTTTTAAATGTTTTTTTAAAACATGTATATTAGACAGAAAAATTGTGTACACACATGCAGATAAACCCATTATTTATGCTATGAGGAACATAAAGAAGATTGCTTGGTTATAAGTTCCACGTCACCTTTTATAACAGTTTAACTTTGCTGATATTCTACACTGTATTTGTTAAATTTAGGAGTTTTAGGATGTAATATACAGGACTATGATGTTAGAGGAAAACAGATGACATAATATAAAACTTTCAGTAAATCATCGACAAATCAGTTTTGGTAGCCCGGGGCTGGTAAATTGATTTCGCTATTGGGCCCTAGAGCAAGGCCCATAAACCCCAGCTGCAAAGGTAGGTGCTGCAAGCTGTCTGTCCCTGCACTGTGACCCCCCCCCCCCCCCCAAGCTTGCTCTCACCTGCATAGGTGTCTGTATGTCTTGTGGAATTTCCTTATGGGGATCAATAAAGTATCACTAGTCTCTTCTGCTCTATTCTGTTCTTCACAGGACCGTCAAGCAGAGTAACCGCTGTGTACCTCCCCTTTCAGGTCTCCATGAATTGTGACTACGTTTTCGTCAATGGGAAGGAGACGCGGGGGTCGATGAACGCCAGGGTGGTGTTCAGCTACGATCACCTGAGCGCCCCCCTGGAGCTGACGGTGTGGGTGCCCAAGCTGCCCCTTCAGCTTGAGCTCTCCGACAACAAGCTAAGCTACATCAAGGGCTGGAGGGTCCCCATACTGCCTGATCGCAGGTGAGGAGCTCAGCTTCGGATAACCTTCACCTTTATGGCTGAGGTGAATAGAGTGTGTGTTACAGCTGTAGAGCTGAAGAGTGTGTGATTCATGACATTTAGAGATGCACGATATATTGTTTAATATATCAGTTTTTGGTCCAATGTGACAGTGTTGGTCGATATTGCCATATTTAGACTTCAGTCAATATTGAAATTTAGCAGCACCAGAGCTATTTTAGCATATCTGCGAAAATAATGGAGATGATTACATTGGACGAACATCCATTCCCTGTTATGGAGGGCAACAGATTTCGTTGGCTCATTCATCACTTACTGACTGGCAGTTGTCTCCAAAGTCAGCGTTGCTTCACTGATGTCTCAACGATGCCTGCGTTATATGATGTAGCTGCTACACACATTCACTTAAGACGTAACATCACCAGCGTCAGTTTTACTATAGATCTGTAGAGCTGTTAGGCGGTTATTGGTATCAGTGACATTAGACAAAAATGTCTGTTGTTATTATTGGCCAAAATTTCCATATCGGTGCGCCACCACTAACGAAGTATTGTCTGTACACATCATTTCATATCCTTTCGATGTTTTGAAAATGACCATATGAAGCTGTTTCATAGTGCTTTATAATGGTAATTTATTTTATTACTGAGGGGAATCCTCTTTTACATTCCTAGGCAAAAATTCAGTATATCTTGTAAAGAAAAAGCTTGCTTTCCAGGATCACTAGTATTTGTAACTGGAAGGTTCACTTTCAACTGAATATTCTAGATCATGACAAGAAGAGTCTCCAGCCCACATCTGAAAGCAAGTTTTCCTGGCAAAAGAGCCCTTCATCCTGAGGAAAAGTTGGCATTTTCTGTCTCAGAGCCCTGCAAAACTAGCGAAACGTGTCATTTGTGTTTATTTTCAGTTTCAAGCTGAAAAGATTTAGTTCATTTCAGCCACTGGGACCTAACGTTATTTGTGACTGAACCAATACAGGAAAGGTTAACATTTGATTCCTCTAAAAGCTCACAACCAGATTCAGTATCAAGTGTGTCATCATCTTCCAAGAACACAGCTGTCTGCTGCTTTATATTCAGTGCAGCCAGAGAAATCAAGGGATTGAAATATACCTTGTCAGATATCGACAAGACTTCCTTGTCATGTGAATGCTTGTTTATGTGGGCATAAGGTAAAGAACAGATTGGTTTTCATAGGAATCGAGTGCAGCAAGGTTTTTTAGTCTTTAGGGAGGCCTTGAAGCTGTCAAGAACCTGAGCAAAGTTGGGCAACTAGAACATCTTGCAGTGGCTGTCTGCTACTGCTCATAAACAACAGACTTTTCTCTTTCGTCCCGGTACTGACAACCAAGATGAATATTGAAGTGTGTTGCTTTATGTTTGTATTGTATAACAAGTTTACCTCAAACTGAAGTATTCAAATTTTAGGAGGTTTCAGTTAGCATTTTTATGTTATATTTTATTTATTAAGGAGAAGCTTTTATCCAAAGTGATAAACATTATATGGACAAAAATATTGGGACACCTGGCCATTACACCTTCAGCAATTATGACATGCAATTGTAAATCTGTTAAAGCTGCCACTGTTCTGGGAAGGCTTTCAAATATATTTTGGAGTGAATCTGTGGGAATTTTTGCCCATCCATCCAGAAGAGCATTCATGAGGTCAGACACTGATGTTGGATGTGAAGGGTTGGCTCGCAATCTCCATTCTAGCTCAATCCAAAGGTGTTCAGTGGGGTTGAGGTCAGGGCTCTATGCAGGTTGGTCAAGTACTTCTACACCAAAGTCACCCAACCATGTCTTTATGAACCTTTGCGCACTGGGGCACAGTCATTCTGGAACAGAAAACGACTTTCCCTAAACTGTTCCCACTAAGTTGGAAGCATAACATTGTCCAAAATGTCTTTGTGTGCTGCAGCATTAAGTGTTCACTTCACTGGAATTTAGGCCTAGCCCAAACCCTGAAAAATATTCCCATACCATTATCCCTCTTCTACAAAATTTTACGGTTAGAACAATGCAGTCAGGCAGGTAACATCTGCCAAACCCAGGCTCATCCATCAGACTTCTAGACAGAGCACATTTTCACTGCTCCAGAGTCCAGTAGAGGCATACGAGTGGTGTGACACTTGGCACTGCACTTGGTGATGTGAGGCTTGCATGCCACTGCTCAGCCATGGAAGCCATTCCATGAAGATGCCAGCACACAGGGTTTGGAACCCTGTAGTTTTTGAATCAACAGGGCGTTGGCGACCTTTATGCACTCAGCACCTCAGCACTCAGCAACCCCACTCGGTTACTTTATGTGGTCTGCCACTTAATAGCTGAGTTTTTGTTTTTCCTAAATGCTTCCACTTGACCATGGAATATCTAGCACAGAAGAAATTTCACAAACTGACTTATTGCATGCTTGAATCCACTGAGGTTTTCAGAACAACCCATTCAATCACAAATGTTTGTAAACCTGACTGCATGGCTGGGTGCTTGATTTTATACACTTGTGGCTATGGGTCTGAATGAATCACCTGAATTCAATGATTGAGAGGTGTGTCCCTATATTTTTGTCTTTATAGTGAATGTTTTTGGGAGAAGCAGGGTCTGCCAGACCCTGGAGCAATTAGGGTTCTGGGCCATGCTTAGGGGACCAACGGTGAATCCCAGTGTCTGATTTGATTTGAACAGCCTTCTGATCACTAATACAGCATCCGGACCCACGGAGCCTAACCGGCTAGCTTCACCATAAGAACATAAGAACTATACAAAAGAGAGGAGGCCATTCGGCCCATCGAGCTCACTTGGGGAGA